GTAATCATCATCATCATCATCATCATCATCATCATCACCACCACCACCACCACCATCACCACCACCACCACCACCACCTTTCTGGTCTCTTCCCTACTTATATCACTGACATGTGAATGAAAAGCTTTGGAAAAGGGCACTTGGCACCCAAAAGAGCATGCCGAAAAATACTACTCAGCCTCACCACTCATGTGGGGACTTCTGAGGACATCACAGTTTTCTGCTTAGAATCCTGAGTGCTACTACATCTTCAGCCTCTCAATCAAACTGTCCACGAGAAGGTGCCATTCCAGGAAACGGAGATGTCACAGCAAAAAACACAGGTGAGAACAGAGGGAAAGGGGGAAACATTATGTAACAGGATTGCTGCAGTCATGTGCTATGTCTCCCTCCATTCCTTTTGCCTTGCAGGGCAAGATGCATGAAGAAGAACAATGAGACATTTGCACACTCAATAGGCAGAGAGGAATAAGGAGTATTCCCTCACAGTAATCGCCATTTCTTACTCCTTCTCATGTGAGAAAAATTAGGTATGAGCACAGAGCACCCAGGTGGCATTATTTGTTCTCCCTTCTCTTTCATTCACTCAGTTTTCTCTTATCTGTACACAAATACTTATCCTGTACCTTGATTTCAAGATGCTATTGCTTTATCTGCTGACTATTGCTTATTGTATATTTTGCTTTCTCTACAGGCTCTTCTTGTGCAGTACATAATTCAACCTATGCCTGTTCTTTTCAGCCAAGGAGAGAATCTCAACTGTTGTAAAGAAAAGCTTCCAGGATGCTTATGGCTGTTTCTCTTTGAGGTTGACAACGTATGAGTTCCAAGGAATGCTCTTCTATCTGTATATGTTCCATGGCAGACAATGATTGGGGATGTTTCTACCTGCTACTTGTTGTGAAGTGACTTGACGACAACATCACACCACAGCCCTTCCAGGTTCTCTTCCATCCCTGACACTGTCCAATAAAGACTGTCACACTGCTACATGCGTTGGTTATTTATTTTTTTGCTAAGAGGTGGCAGATATGGTTCCTTTCCCACATCTAAGTAGGAATAGGTTTCAGTTGGTTTTGGGATGGGATTCTGAAAGAGGGGCTGGTCACACAATGAGCTGAAGACCAGTGGGCCTCCTCTCTCCTCACTCAGGCTACTGGTCTGTGAGAAAGGCAGACTCTCATGGTGCAGAAGCAGGAGACATTTAGCTGTCGTAGTGTGAGAAGCCATCAGTTGTGGGGGGTAAAGAAGCAAGGAGAAATGAGGTGTGAGAGAAGTGACAATGGAAGAAAGATGTGGGCAATGTGTCCTGCTAGGAAACCATCTGTTAGAGCTGGCTTGTCAGCCAAGGAGGTGGGTTGGATCAGGGAGGGAGGTTGATTGGTCCATGCATGATTATTCTTCCAGGCAGGGTGTTTCCTGTGTTGGTCAGATGCAATGGGAAAGGGACAGAGAAAAGCTGTTCAAATGAATAAAAGCACATGCCCATTTGTCACACTCTTCAAACTTTCCCCATGAACTTGTTAGTACCAACATGCTTTAGCATAATCACAACCACAACCACCACAACAAGTTGCCCTGGATAGCCCATAACAGGATGCCATAAAATTCAGATCCCCAGCAGGACATTCAAGAATGGAACTAGTGCAAGTGTTATCTTTTCCTTAATATTGCCACCAGCCTCAATTGGCCTGGAAAAGCTGAATACATATAGTTAAATGTGAAATTGGTTTGGGATCAGTTTTCAGATTTGGAACATGGAATTCTGAACACCAGAAAAAAATCATGTAGTGGTATTGAGATACAATGATAAAATGATCAGTTTTTAGATTTGGAACATGAAATTCTGAACACCAGAAAAAAAAAATCATGTAGTGGTATTGAGATACAATGATAAATCAATTAAATACTGAGTTACATTCAATATTGATATTCAGTGCATTCTTTCCCAATATCTGCTCTTTAAAATGTTTAATATAAAGTGTTATATAGTACGTACCATCAAATGTCATGTGTATGTAAATATTCAGGTGATTCCAGACTGGCCCATGAAGTAATATTTCTCACAGACAGATTTTAGAGATCAAACTTATTTCAATGTATATGTCCATAAGGCACTGTCTTGTGTATGAGAGTCTCACTTACTTGTGTTCATAACTTTCAGCTCTTCAGCTCTATGGATTTTGGCAGAAGATGGCAGATCATGCATGAACGGATCACACCAAACAGATTTTATTGGTGAGTCTCTTCCTCTTCTGTTTGTTTCTTAAAGGAATTATATAATTAGAGTTAAACCATGGCGTAAGAGATAACTGATTAACCTATTCAGTCTTTCAGCATCAGGGTTGGCAAAATGTGTGTGAAGGCAAAATGAACTAGCACTGCCGCTTGTCCTTACTTTTCTCACACAAAGTGGCAAATCTGAATTAGGGAGACTTGTCTATCCATGAAGGCTCTCCAGACAAGCCAGAACCCTGATTTCTTAATGTTCTGGCTTGCACAGTCAGACTTGGCAGAGTCTCTCCTCTTTGAATTTCTCCCTTCATGTGCAAAACTGACATGGAGGGGGATGGTTTATGCTCCATCCTTGTGCATTTACTCTACCTGGTTACAAATGGCTGAGCTGTCTCTGTCCAGATGGTTGCTCTACTCTTCAATGAGTCGTTGTGACATCCAACCAAAGATTGACGTATCAGTTCTCAGGAATCTTGAGGTTTAGTGCAAAGGGTTGGATTGCCTGGCCTATTCATGTCTGCATAAAACACACAGTTGTGAAAAGATGAGAAACTTTTTTCAAACTTCTTAACTTTCTCCCTAGTGTGTGCACAGTCCTTTCAATGGAGGGGGCATTTTGCTGTTTAGTCGTTTAGTCGTGTCCGACTCTTCGTGACCCCATGGACCAGAGCACGCCAGGCCCTCCTATCTTCCACTGCCTCCCGGAGTTGTGTCAGATTCATGTTGGTTAATTTTGAAGTTGTACTGTCTCTGTCTAGATGGTTGCTCTACTCTTCAATGAGTTGTTGTGACATCCAACCAAAGATTGACGTATCAGTTCTCAGGGATCTTGAGGTTTAGTGCAAAGTGTTGGATTGCCTGGCCTATTCATGTAGCATACTTGCCTGTATAAAACACACAGTTATGAAAAAATGAGAAACTTTTTTCAAACTTGTTAACTTTCTCCCTAGTATGTACACAGACCTTTCAATGGAGGGGGCATACACATTCATAATTTTGAAGTTGTATTTCAGTGTGTAATTTGTGGGATATGACCCAGGAAAGCTGCACTACAGATTACATTATGGTGTGATTTCTTGATTTATAAATTTGAGATTATGGAGGAGCATTCATGTATGAGATTCTGAAGCTGCATTTAAGAGAGTATTTTGAAGCAAACAACATGGTTTGTCTATACAATATTACAGCAAGGACACATGATGATTATATTCTTCCACCAAACATGACCTTTAAGCAGAAATCTTTACAGAACCGAAGGTTTCAGGTTTGGAATATAATTTCATATGTTAGGGACACAAGATCAGTAAACTAATTATTGCAAGTACTTGGATTATTGGAGTCACAGCTAGGAATTCAAACACTTTTAATCATTTAGAACCAAAGAGATTCTATGGAGTTGATGGGAAGAATTGTTGTTAGTAGATCCTCTACATATATAGTGGGGTCTTGACTTGAGAACTTAATCTGTATTGGAAGGCGGTTCTCAAGTCAAAAATTCTGTAGGTCCAGTCTCCATTGACCTACAGTGCATTGAAAACCGATTAATCCCGTAACAGGCCGTTTTTGTTCCATTTTGGTTTTTTTCTGGTCTGTAAGTCAATTCTCAGGCTGCAAGTCAAACCTAAATTTTGCGACCAGAGAAGTCTGTAACTCAAAAAGTCTGTAAGTCAAGCCGTCTGTAAGTCAAGGGTCCACTGTAGTATAATGTGCTACCAGTTCTGAAGTGGAGGGGTGGCTTTATTTTTTCTTTTCAGCTGTTTCCCACTCATAAGATCACACACATTGACTCCAGAGTGGTAAGGAATTTATTAGGATAGTTCTAGGTCTTACACAGATCCAGGTCAATTTGGGGTGTGGCTGTAGGGAATAAGGGATTTTAAGATTCTATGGCTCCTTCCCCAATGCAACACTCATATATGGTGCTTCTGCCCCGCCTTCCTTGAAGCATACTGGTGGTGTACAAGTGCAGCAGAACATTGCCTAGTTACAACCAGGGAAGCTTGGTTTATTAGGATAGTTCTAGGTCTTACACAGATCCAGGTCAATTTGGGGTGTGGCTGTAGGGAATAAGGGATTTTAAGATTCTATGGCTCCTTCCCCAATGCAACACTCATATATGGTGCTTCTGCCCCGCCTTCCTTGAAGCATACTGGTGGTGTACAAGTGCAGCAGAACATTGCCTAGTTACAACCAGGGAAGCTTGGAAAACTTCTTTCTTTCTTTCTTTCTTTCTTTCTTTCTTTCTTTCTTTCTTTCTTTCTTTCTTTCTTTCTTTCTTTCTTTCTTTCTTTCTTTCTTTCTCAAAGTTTTCAGAATCCCCAAGTCAGCATGTCCATTAGCTATGCTGTCCAGGGGATTCTGGGATTTCCACCCAAAAAAGTTACTGTTTCAAGCTCTGTTTCTGGCAGCAGCCATGGACTCCTCATTCTGCAACATCTTGTGCCATCTTTCAGCTATTTTAAAAGGAGAATACAGTCATGTGAAAAAGAAATTACGCCCTCTTTGAATGGTATATTTTTTCAGTCATGTGAAAAAGAAATTACACCCTCTTTGAATGGTAAGGTTCTACCTATCAGGACATAGTAAAAATATCTGGTCCTTAGCAAGTCTAAACATTAGGTAAATACAATCTCAAAGGAACAATGACATATGACATATTTCACTGTGTCATGATTTATTTTACTAAAATAAAATAAGGCCAAAATGGAGAAACCATGTGTGAAAAACTAAGTACACTTGATGATTCAATGGCATGTCAATACACCTTTGGTAATCAGTGTCTGTATGACTCTATCTCTCACATCATTGTGGAGGAATTTTGTCCCACTCTTCTTTACAACATTGCTTCTGTTCATTTAAGTTTGTGGACATTTCTTTATGCACAGCTCTCTTAAGATCGTGCCACAGCATTCCAATCGGGTTAAGGTCTGGACATTGCAACACATTGATTCTTTCCTTTTTCAGTCATTTTGTTGTAGATTTGCTGGTGTGTTTGGGATCATTGTCCTAGTGCATGACTGAATTTCAGCCAACCTTTAATTGTCAGCCTCACATTTGACTCTAGAACAATTTGGTATACAGAGGAGTTCATGATCCACTCAATGACTGCAAGGTGCCCAGGTCCTGTAGCTGAAAAACAAGACCAAATCATCATCCTTTTGCCACTGTGATTGACAGAAGGTATGCGGTGTTTGTGCTGATATGCTGTGTTTGGTTTTCTACAAACATGATGTTGTGCATTATGGCCAAACATCTCCACTTTGATCTCATCGGTCCAAAGGACATTGTTCCAGAAGTCTTGTAGTTTGTCCAAAGATGCAATAGGCAAACCTAAGCTGTGCTGTCACATTGTTTTTAGAGAGAAGAGGCTTTCTCCTAGCAACCCTTCCGGACAAACCGTAATTGTTCAGTCCTTTTCTAATTCTACTGCCATGAATTTTAGCATTTCACAGGTTAATGGAGGCCTATAGAATCTGAGATGTAACTCTTGGATTTTTTGCACTTTCTCTGAGCATTGCAAAGTCTGGCCTTGGGGTAAATTTGCTTGAATGTCCAATCCTGGGAAGATTGGCAACTGTCTTGTAAGTAATATTCCTCACTGTAGAATGATGGACTTTAAATTGTTTGGAAATGGCCTTACTTACTTACTTACTTACTTACTTACTTACTTACTTACTTACTTACTTACTTACTTACTTACTTACTTACTTACTTACTTACTTACTTACTTGTTTATTTGTTTATTTATTTATTTAACTTATATACTGCCCACACTACCCAAGGGTTTCTGGGTGGCTTGCAACAATTAAAATACAATAAAAAAGATAAAACAATTAAAATACAATTAAAAGATATACTCTAAAAATTGCCATCAGGACCCACAGTTGATATTACTTCAATTAAAAGCTTTCTGGAACAGGAAGGTTTTGACCTGGCGCTGAAATGTCATCAGTGTCAGTGCCAGACAAATCTCAATTGGGATGGCGTTCCATTGTCTGGGGGCAGCTGCTGAAAAGGCCCTTTCTGTACAAGCCACCCCTTTTACCTCCTTCAGGGGTGGCTCTTTCAAAAGGGCCCACTGCTGGGTAGGTTCATATGGAAGGAGGCGGTCCTTCAGGTATCCAGGACCCAAGCCATTTAGAGCTTTATATGTCAAAACAAGCACTTTGAATTGGGCCTGGGCAGCAACTGGTAGCCAATGTAATTTAAACAGAATCTGCTTGATGTGTCCCCTAGAATCCCCACCACTCACCAGCCGAGCAGCTTGATTCTGGACCAGTTGCAGTTGCCAGACCATCTTCAAAGGCAGCCCCACGTAGAGCACATTGCAGTAATCTATACGATATGTTACCAGTGCGTGTGTAACTGTCATGAGACTCCGCTCATCCAGGTAGGGCCGTAGCTGGTATACTTTCCACAGCTGAAGGAAGGCGCCCCTGGCCAAGTCCACCTGGGCTTCCAGAGTTAGACTGGGGTCCAGGAGCACCCCCAGGCTGCAGACCCTGTCCCTTAGGGGGAGTGTAACCCCATTCAGGGCAGGGAAATGGCCCTCCAGCCTGTCTGGAGAAGCACCCACTAACAGCACTTCCATCTTGTCTGGACTGAGTTTCAATTTATTAACCCTCATGAAGTCCATTATCAGGTCCAGACACAAGTTCAGCACAGAAACCTGGATTGGTGGAAAACGAGAGGTAGAGCTGAGTATCATCAGCATATTGCTGACTCCTCAGCCCAAACCTCCTGATGACCTCAGGCTTCCCAGATTGCTGGGCACCAACAGTTGCTTCTCTGTTATCATTGCTGATGTGTTTCCTCCTTACCATTGTGTTAACACACACCTGAATGCTCCAGACCAGCATACTGCTAAACATCAGCTTTTATAGAGTTGGTTACACTTGCTGATAATCAATTACTCAGGGGCATTTGTTTAGCAGCACCTGGCTGCTACTTAGCCTCTTAATTCTTATGGAAGCAGTAAGCATGTACTTCGTTTTTCACAAATA